ATACTTAGTGTTTCCCATGTGCTAGGCACCGAGTTAAGCAACCAGGGATATGTGGCTAAATAACATGATCCCTGTCCTGTGGTTGTTTACAACCTAAGTAAGAGTGTTCCCTGTTCAGACCAGATGGAGAACATCATTAGATCTCCCCTCCTCAAACTGAGGCAGGTCTAGAGGTGAGATTTCAGAAGTTATATGATAAGGTGGCCCACTAAGATATGTGCGTGTGTTGGGGGGGGGGGTGTCTGTCCCTTGCTGGTCCTGGTCCCCCACCCCCACCCACCCCCACACACAGTGGGCACTTGACTACTGATTGTTTAAACAACAGCTAATTCATAAATTAGTAACAAGTAATCATTGATAGTTTTACTTTTAAGTCATTTTATTATCTACTATTGTAAATAAATGTATTGGTTTAGTACAATAAATTGATTATTAGAATAAGTAATGAATTACTAATAAAGTTCAATAACCATTAATAATTAGCAAATTTACTGCAATCGTTCGAGAAGTACTGCAAGGTACGTTCACTGGTTCTTTCCACCCTTTTACCTGAGGACGCTGGCCCCCACTGTTATTTCTCCAACTCTCTTACTATGTCAATTTCAGAAACCACTGCCTGGCAAATTGAGCCTCCTGTGGGTTTGTGACATTTGGAAGGTACTTTTTTTGCCTTGCTACTGGTCTAGAGGAAGGACTGCAGAAGTTCTGTGAATACTGGGATGCTCGGGAAATAGTGCTGCTTTCCAGGCCCTGGGCAAAGGCACCTGTTCTGTCCATGATCCAGTGGCCCTAGATTTGGACAGAGCAGAGGGTGGTTTCAGAGCAGAATGGAAGCTTACACCCTGCACGAGGTGACTGAGAACTTAAACCAGTTCAAGAAGAGTCTTGATAATGGATGGATACATAGCCAGTTATTAAGGGAAACCAGGGAAGTTCCAAGTACATCTCTGGACTTTTAGCATGGTGTCTTAGAATGTAAACACTGGACTCTCCCTCACATGTCCCTCAGCATCGTGGTCGGAATTCTGGGCTAGTGGCCTTTTGTCTTATCTGCGATGACATTTCTGATCTTCCTAAGAATATGGGACTAGAAAAGGTCACGCTAGAACACCCAAAAGAGCAGGTGAGCTGCCTCCAGGGCCAGAGTCTGCCCTGCACACAACTCCAGATTTAGGACACGAGTTCTTCAAGCATGCCGCACCAAGTGCATCGGCACCTGCTAAACACAGACTTTCAGTGTGGGTCATGCTAACGGTGGTGATGCCCGAGGCGGCGGAAGTGAATATGTTAATCTCCTCTGTTCCCAAATAGGTAAGTGGGGGCAATCTCATCAAGGTGGTCAGTTTCCAAATGGGCAATCCAGGAAAGTTCCCTTGACTCCAAGCAGGGTTTGCAGACACTCTGGCCGTGGCTAGTTCCACTCTCGCCCCTCGAGTTACCTGTCATTATTAGGGGACTTCCAGCAGCCCATCCCCCTGGGGATTCAGCATACTGTCCCCAGGAGCAGGGATGCTTTAGGTTCAGAGCTCAAGGATCCCCATCCCCCTCTTCCCATCCACCTTCCTTTTTTCCCTCTTTTTCTCCTTCCCACTCTCCGTTCTCCCTTCTTTCTGCTCCCTGGCTCTCATCTGCAAGTCCTCTTGTAGTGGCACTGATGACCCTTCCAGAACTTCCTGGATATCACGGGAGGGAAGCTGTGCCAGTGAGATTTAGGGCCGCCCTTTTTCCTCTAGTTCCTGCTGGGACAGAGCCCACAGCCCTCATCAGTATACTTGGACTGTGGAAACCCTAGCATTAATGGGAAAGAAGAGAGGGGCTTTTGGGTCTCTCGCTTTCCTGTCCGTTAGAGTCATCATTCTCAACCAAGGTTTGGGGCCAAAATTGGGGCCTGATTCAGTGATGGAAACCCCAAGCTTCAAGGCTGGGCTGGTGCAATACAGGGAGGGATTGCGGACAGGAAGTGGTGTGGCTGCGTGGGTGTGAAGGAAGGGTTTCCTCCCTTCGACACTTTCTATGCTGAAGGGGCCTTTCTCAGACTGCCTCCCTTCCCCCCAGCCCAACAAACAGCCACTTGGAGACCGAATTCAGATGTGAGGCACCAGCCAGGCAGCGCATACAGCAGAAGTGTGAATACAGCCTAGTAAATCCAGTTTCCAGCAGCTTCTCTACTTCCGTTGTCCCTCCTGGAATAATACTACAGTTTTTCAAGTTTATAGAGAATTTGCTTCTTTCAGAGTAGGAATTGGGGAGCTGAGACAGCCCCTGACATTAACCAGGTGGTGGATAGGGGCATTCTTAGCAGCCAAGCTCAGTGAATGTTCGGTTTTCAGAACTCTTGGCACATTGCCAGTTATCCTGGAGGGGACTTGGACCCCAGCACCATGACTCACGACCCTGGGCTTCCCTAGTTTGGCTTCTTTGACTCCAAATTTACTGCTCTGACTTTTGGGCAGCTCCCCCTCAATGAATACACAGCTCAGGGAGGAAGCCCCCTGTGGTTTGGCAGCTAGTTTGAATCAGGATCCTGTTTGTAGACAAAGCAACGAGCACATTGGAGCAGAGAGACTGGATCTGGGGGGATTTCGGAGGCATAACTGGAAGGACTTGGTGAACTACCACAGAAGTTTCAATTATGATGTCAAGCAGGTGACAGAGCTCTTTATTAAACAGGTACAAACAGATTGAGAAGCATCTTTGAAAGGAAGAAAATGAGATCGTGAGTCCAGCTGTGAACACGTCGAGTGGGATATGCTTGTGCGATGTTCTCTCGAAGACATGTGACGGGCAGCTGAATATACCTGCCCTCGTGAGAGAGAGCTGGGCTCTGGGTACAGGTGTGAGAGTTATCAGTTTAGGGATAGATAGAGATGGAGACTCCAAGAAGAGGAGTCCCTTCCTACAGTGAAGCAGCAGGTAGACAGAGAGAAATGCAGAAGCTAGCGTCTTCATTTTGGCGGACTAAAGGGAGATAAGACCTGAGATCTGGCCATTAGATTTGGCAGCTTACTGGTGACCTCCGAGTGCGGGGTTCCATTGAGAGGGTGGGAGCAACTGCTAGACCTTACAGCAGAGACTGACAGTCCCCAAATCCGGGTTGTCCGCTCCCTGAGCACCTGGCTGAATTTCAAGCCCCAAAGTCCCGTATGGCTCAGTGAGGCCATGTGACTGAGTTCTGGCTATGGTCTGTGGGCAGAGACGGTGTACTATCACCTCCGAGATAGAACCTGCTCCCCACCATCCTTCCTCGGCCCCTCATCCTCAGTCTCCCAGCCAAAGTCGAGGAGCCAAGAGACCCTAAGGCCCTGGGGGCACAGAGCAACTTAATGGACCGAGATGCCTCTCTAATTTGTTGTGTGGAGCCAGGGTTACTCAGGCCAGGGAGGCCCCAGGCACAAATACCCTGGGGTTAGCAGTTTCGTGGGGGGGGGGGGGGGGAGCAGCTGGCTGAAGGGCAGTGCCAGTAGGGGTCAGAGCAGATCAGCAGAACTGCTAAAGGGATGTGCAAGCCAGGAGAACGTGGAAGTGCGGCAGGATCCTGCTGAGAGCCAGCCAGAGCGTAAAGTGCTCCCTGCAGGGACAGAAAGTGCTGGAGCTGAAAGACAACAGCACAAAACACCTGCAGGTACAAGGCACACACTTTGTGTACGTACTCACGGCCACATAGGTGCCTGGGACCCTGACTCTGAGTCTGCCCCTCATGGACAGGCTCACCTGGACTCCACAGTCCTGGCCAGCCTTGTGAGATGCTGACAGAAGGTCATGCCACATGTAGAGACCCCAGTCCCAGCCCGGAGGCACCTCCTGCGGCATGGCTTCAGCCTGATGCTATCACTCTACAGTGGATCAGGAGTCAGACCATCTGGGGTTCCAGCCTGGTTCTGCTCCTCCCTACCTGTGGCTGACCTCGAGCAAGGCCTTTCCCTCACTGCATCTGAGCCCCTTGTCTGCAGAGTGAATGTTATCAGGCTGGATGATTTATAAAATCTCTCATACTAAAAACTTCTGCCATTCCCCCCCAAAACGGCTGCATTCAGGAAGATTTGGCCTGGTCCTGCCAGCCAGCAGCGGCCCTGGTCTCTAACGGCAGACTTGGAACGCCTCTGACCAGGGAAACCTTGCCGTCTTCAGCCTGCGTGAGTTCCAAGAGACCCGCAGACCTCCAAAAGGCCTGGGGGACAGGGGACCCTTGCCCAGGAGAGAGGAGGTTCTCGAGGAGTGGCCAGTATGAATACTTGCGTGAAATCAGCAAGCCTGTCACCCTTGGGAGGGGCTGGCATTCTCTCTTCTTACTTTCTTCTTTTTCAACCATCTACAACAAGGCACTTTCCTTTCCGTTCCCATTTCCTGTGCCCTTTATGATGGGATGGCTCTGCCCTCCACAACTCCCTGGGTCCAGGGGAAAAGAGAGTTGGAAGAGGACCGGGAATCCTCTCCCATTTTGCTTTTCTCGCCAGGCCCACCTTCAACTTGTCTTGGTTCTGCTTTTCCTGAAATAATAGACAGAACTTTTGAAAGGAAATTGCTCTCCTTATCTGCCAAAAATATCTGTGTTTTTAAACTAGGGGACAGATTTCCCCATCCCATTGCTGACTCAGACTAACAGAAAGTAAAAGTGTCCTCTGATCCTACGCCTACATACGGAACAGGGAGGTGACCCAGGAGTGTCCAGAGCAGTCACGAAAGCTTCCAGGGCCTGGAAGAGAAAATCTGCCTTGACAGTCCAGCAGGGGTTGGGTGCTGACCAAGATGGAGAGCTACCCAAAGCAGGCAGGGGTCACACCCAGCATGACTACCTCGACATCACCCCGGTGGGGTGGCCAGCAAGTTCCAGGACTCCACAGCTGTCTCCTGCAGCGAGCACAGATATGGCCATGGGGAAGATGACCAGGAGGGGAAAGCAAGACCCAGGAGCCACAAAACCGTGTGAGGACATAGAAGATGACCTCTCCAAGATGAGGAAACCTATTATATTTCTAAATTCCAAGAAGTTAGCAAAAGGAGACGTCATAACCATCTTTATTATCCAAAATCTACAGGCAATGATTCTGCACAACACGGAACCTATTAGCTGCCAAAGTGGATTCCAGGTGACTCCTGAGGGTGGCCTCCCTGCCTGGATCGGTTCAAGGCTTTGAGAGGTGCCGGCGGGAGCGTCATGCTGAGCCATCTGCTGAGGACGCGGCCAGGAGCTCCGAGAAGGGGACCCGGCCACAGGGCCCCCTGTACACAGATGCGGAGGGAACCCTCCTGCCAGGTGTGAAAACGACCAAGGCTCCTCCTTCAGCAGAGGAGGAGGATCCTCGGGCTTCATCGGGGCAGGCAGCCGGCCACGGGGTCCGGCCGCGGCACCGGCACAAAGTTCATGGGGCACAGCAGCAGTGGGCACATCTTCTCGTGCTCCTTCAGGGCCTCGCTCAGCTGCTGCAGCTCCGCGGTCAGCTTCCCGATCTCTCTCCGCAGCACAGTGTTCTCCTGCTCCAGGCACTCATACTCCTGCACAGACAAGGAGAACGGGGAAAATGGTTTCTGCGAGCACACTCCCTTCGCTTGATGCTTCGCTCTTCCCCAGGAACGCTTCCTCGCTAACTGAGCCCCCTTCCACCGCTCTTAGTGGTTCCTTGTTAGCTTCACGTTTCTCTCCTCCCACCAGGATGCAAGGTTGGTGAGGGTGGGGCTTTGCTTTTTGAATCAGCTTTATTGAGATATGATTTATATCAAATAACACACACCTGTTGTAAGGATGTATATAATTCAATGAGTTTTGGCAAATTAAACGTTGGTCGAGAGAACGTTTCCATCACTCCTAAAAGTTCCCTCAGGGCCCCCATTGCAGCCAGCCTCTCCTCCCCCAACTGCTGAGTTGCCTTCTCAAGATCTCTGTTGTGGTCACTGCTGTGGCCCCAGCACCTGGAACAGTGCCTGGAACATAACAGATGTTTGCTGGCTGCATGAGTAAATGAATAAAAATACCCCTTGCCTTGGTTTTGCCCCAACACTCTGTTAAGTTTCCATTATACCAGAGTTTGCAGAGGCTTAGACCTGGAGGGGGGTCTAGAGACCCCTCAGCCCAACCCACACAATGCAGAAACCGGACATGCAACTTGTGCTGGACCTTCTCTTCTTCAAAGGGCAGTCCCTGCCATTTCCACGCTGGTCTATTAGAAAGCTCGTCTTTGTGCCGATCCAAAATCTCTCTCTCTCCTTCAGACCCACCTATTGGGCTTGGTTCCACCTTATGGAACCACACAGAGTAAATTCAATACTTTTTCAACATCACAGTTCTTGAAATATTAGGAGACAGCCCCATACCACTTCCCCTTAGGTATTCTCTCAGCTCAACTGTCTCAGGTCCCCTGAGCTCCTTGAGTTTTAGGGCTTCTGGTCCTTCTGCCCTCCTGGAGGTCATCCCAATACACAGTGCAATTTGCCAGGATCTCGGAGAAAAACGCCATACCCAAAACAGTGCATGATTTTGCAGGTGGCCTGCCCATGCAGAGGGCAGATGCTTGGAGGTGGCCCACCCTGGGGCTGGGCCCAAGCCTGCAGCCCCCTCACTCTGGGGATTCTCCCTGAGTTTGCGGAGAGGTGCAGGCTTTGTCTGCATCTACTGCTCCTCTGTCTACATCTGGATGATGACTGGTGTTCTGGAGATGAAAGGTGTGGGCTCTATATCCACTTCTCCTGACTTTCACCCTGTTCACTTGGCATCTTCCAGGTTAGCAAAGTCTTTCTGAATCTTAACGTGTCAGCTCAGGGATCACGATGCCACACAGCTATAAGCTGTCCATTAGCTTCATGAGCAGGTCTTCCTTATCTCCATCCAAGTCATTAGTATGTTCTATAGTATAATTCTCAACCAATGGCAGAGCCCTAGGGCACGCCAGTAGAGACCATCTCAAAGTTGACAATCTTATTTAAATCTTGCTGCAATGTTGTTTACCATGAATTTCCCGGGGTGGGGACCCAACCTTCCTAACCATCACATCTCTTCTTGTACTAGTAACTTTTTTAAAATGTCACTAAAAATGTCTGTTCTTCTTACAGTTCCCTAAAGCACACACAAATTCTCAACTCTGCCCCTTTGCTAATTCTGTTCTCCTCGACTGGACTACCTACCTCCTTTTCTGTGTGGGCCCAGCTCAAACCTAACACCTCCAGGAAGGCTTCCCTGAGCACAGCACCTAATGGAACCACATCCCTCATTATTATGTGTTCTATTCAATTTTGTATCATATTCAATCTTACTTATACTAAATAAGGTCGCTCCCCAAAGATCAGAAATGTAAGAGCCTCTGCTACCCTCTGCGGTAGCCCCACCTGATAGGCCACAGTGCCCAGTGACTACTCAGCCCCAGTCCTCTGCCTCCTTCTCTCACCTGCTTCCTTCCCCCCTCTAGGTGCCAGAGGGGCTGCACACACAGAGGCCATCTGAGCCTTCCCCAGGCAAGCCCTCAGGATAGTCTGGAATACTCTCCAAGGCCACCAGCTGCACCCCTTCCTCTCACAGGTTATCCTGGGTCAGTCTGGTTTCACTAGCGCACGGGCCCCATTCTGCCCTCAGCCCTCCTCCATGCCTGTCAGCTCCCCTCTGGCCTCTGACAAACTCTAGTCCTGGAGCCCGAATTCAGTCTACAAAGCAGCAACAAGCCCTCTGTGGGCAAGGGGAGGGAAGACAGGACAGTCATCGTGGGAAGCCTGCCTGCAGCAGCAGGGTGACTGGCTGCAGCTCTGTGAGGCACACGTACACACATGCACACAGGCACACATGTGCACGCACACGCACGCATGCACATGCAGCACAGATGCACGCACGCACACGTGCATGCACACACATGCATGCACACACAGACACACACACACTCACGTGCTCCACCCTGCAACTGGAAATGCTCTTCACCTCCAAGTAAAATGGAGAATAGATGCGAATGGTTCCAATGAGCTAACATTTAAAAGAATTTTTTTAATGTTTAGTTTTGAGAGAGAGAGAGACAGACAGAGTGTGAGAGGAGGAGGGGCAGAGAGAGAGGGAGACACAGAATCTGAAGCAGGCTCCAAGCTCTGAGCTGTCAGCACAGAGCCGGATGCGGGGCTTGAACTCATGAACAGTGAGAACATGACCTGAGCCGAAGTCAGACGCTCAACCGACTGAGCCACCCAGGCGCCCCTAATGAGCTAACGTTTTAACTAGATTCCAAAACATAGGAAGATCACTTGCCGTGGCAGAACATTCCAAAGTGTCCTTTTGTATTGTGGCAGGACGCTGTGAGCTTCTGAGTTTTAGCTCCAGAAGCCATGAAGGGCCATGCTGCCTAAAGTCTTCCCAAGGTACAGCTGCCTCCTCTAAACCCCAGCCCAGCAGCCCCCTCATCCGCCTTCTCTGCAGGGACTTTCTCTTCTGGGATTTGACTTTTACTTCTAAACCTGCTGAGGGACTTTCATGGAGCTGAGAGAATAAAAAGAGAAGAAGTCAAGATCTCCAGGTGAGGCCAGCTCAAGAAGAATAAAAGTGGGTGTTACTCATAAATTAATAAATAAATAAATATTTAATAAATCAAGAAATAAATATTGAGCAGGTGGAGAGGAGGTATGAGAATGCAGAGAACAAAGGGGAAAGAGTAACACCCACTTCACATGGAGAAGAAAGTACTTGGACTTGATATACATGAAAATAAGCAAGAACATTAGCCCATCTGTTATTTCCAAAAGATCAGTTTAGCTCAAATCTTGCTGACTTTCGAGCCTTTTGCGCAGGAGGGTTGGAGGTCACTGCGCTGCCTTCCCTGGCGTTTCGCAGGACACAGTCGCAAAGCAGAGACCTAAACATTCCCGGCGGCGAAATCTCTGCAAATCCCAGTTCTGCCTCAGAAATGAGACTGTCTGAGGCAGCCATCCTCAACCAGAGCAATCGCGGTGGTCCCCGGGGGACAGGCGGCATGTCTGGAGACAGCTGGGTTGCCACAACTGGACCAGAGGGCGCTACTGCATCCAGTGGGTAGAGGCCAGGGGTGCCACTCGACAGCCTACAGTGCCCAGGACAGCACGCCCCCAGACAAGGACGTATCCAGCCCCAAATGTCAGTAGTGCCAAGGCTGAGGAACCCTGGTCTGGGCATCTAAGAGAGGTTGACTGGGGAGCGAGGGGCTGTCTGGGGGCATCCAGGGTCCAGGATTAAAAAAAAACAACAACTGACAAGCTAATGTGGGTACCAGGAACCAGAGAGGAAAACAGAGGCAGAAAGTAGATGAGGGGGAGGAAAAGGCCATCAGGAGGGCACAGCCACACACAGACCCCATTTCACAAGCGAGGAAAGTGAAACTCTGAGAGGCGCAGTGACTTTTCCAAGGTCATGCAGACTTGGAACCTGATTTCAAGGTCAAATGCAATCCTCAAGCAAGGACAGCAATTGTGCTTTCACTTGGCAGTGACTGGCCCCAAATTTCCCCGTGGTGGTTACTGGCAGTAAAGGGCTGTGAGGGCTCAGGATTTTACAATGAGCCTATTCCCAAGCCCTAGGTTGATCTCCTTCCCAGAAGAAAGTTAGTGTCATCAGGGAGGGCCGTACAAATTAGTGTCATCATCAGTTTCTAAACCAAGGAGGGACTGACATGAAGCATTCTCTTTGAATATGCAATATCTGAAAAAACCGTGGCAACACAGACCACAACCAAATTGCCTAAGAAATCCGTCAGTTGGTGACATTTGGGGTTCCTGAGGATGGCATCGTCTGCCTTCCTTTTCTGACTCAACGTTCTTTCTCAGTCTTACACCTTCGGATGCCTGGCTCGAACCCGTCTGACCCACTTCTGAGACACCTTTTGGCTCGTCGTAGAAAGCTGGACCGTTCACTTGGGTCCCTATTTGTGAATGTGGACTCAGGCGTGTGCCTAATGTTCAGAGATGAATAGAGGCTGAAATCCCCATGAGAGGTGTAAGCGCCTTGAGATGATTTGAAAAGCCACAGTGAGCGCTGAGGCACACAGACACACGTTAGGAACGGCTTCTCGTCACCACAGTCGGGCTTCCAGCAACCACCTCGCTGAGGGGAAAATTCAGACTGAAGAGTGACTTGAGCCTGTCCCTGGCATGGCCTGCTCTGGCTCTCCCAGCCCTGCCCTCCAGGGAGGCCCAGCCTTGATGGACTGTCCTCCAGCTTTGCAGACGGAGAGCCGGGAGAGGTGGGAGGTGGCCCAGAGGCTCCTGGGAGCTGGGACTGGAGGAGGTTTCTCAGGTGTTGGAGATAAGAGAGACTCCAGTGAGTGAACAAGGTGGGCAGGAGAGAAAGGTGGGAATTTTAAACGAGCTCTAAATACTCCCCTTCGTGGTATTCAAGAAAGGCAAATAAAGATCTCGAGTGACTTTGAGATATGCAGCAATGCTACCCCACAGTATGGGACAGAGGAAGGACCGAGTAAAGCCCTTCTCATGGGCTAATCTCCCCAGGGAGTGACAGGCAGCCACGGCTACCAAGTGCTGCTTTCTGCACCCCTTAGTGTCTCCTAGAGAGGGGCCCGGTCCCAGGTTTGAAGAGGCTTCTGAGAAACGTGTCCGGCTCTCACTTTCCTGTCCTTCACGTGGCCTGGAGCCCGAGGGGGCCTGAAGGGCTCTTCTGCCACAACCCAGAGCAGCCTGCTGGGTGCTCTGCCCTCAGCTCACTCACCGGAGCACAACAAAGCTATTCTTTACCGCAGTTTTTAACCAGATATCCCACCCTCAATATGTAGACTTTTTTCAAAGTTTAAAAAAGTACTTTTTTTTTTTTTTTACTATATTTACTTTTGTTTTTTTGTCTTGTTTTATTTTATTTTGTTTTGCTATGTTTGCCCTGCAGAACATAGACCCCCACACAGCTGTGCTGCCCTCCATGGGAGGAATTAACAGCGGAGACAGAATTCATGTGCTACCCTTCGGTCCAAAGAAGACATTCCTCTTCTACAGCGGGACTGGGACGTATTTCCATTTTCCTGAGCCAGCCACCTGCTCCCCCACACACCCTCTTGTGACCAATAACACTTGTGTGTAGCTAGTGACAGTAAAGTTAAGGGCTACAGCTTGGGGATCTGTGCACGGGTGGAGCCACTGTCCTGGCCTCCTTGACACTGTGTTTCTCAGAAAGACTGTTCTTGATGAGGTGATCCGCTAGTGGTACTTAAACCGGAACTACTCTTTGGCTCCACAGAGACAGAGAAGGGAGTGCTCTCCCATGGAAGGGCTGGGTTTCACATCAGTTATTCCCATTTCCCAAAAGAGCACCTGGCACAATTGGTCATGTGACACAGTATAGGGACAGCAGAAGAGGCTAGGTGAACAGAAAGGCCCTCCACAGTATAAGGGCCTCCCAAAGAGGTCGACATCTATCCCCTGGAGCCTGTGAATATGTTACCTTACATGACAAAAAGGACTTTGGAGGTGTGATTAAGAATCTGAACTTGGGGAGGGGCATCTGGGTGGCTCAGTCGGTTAAGCATTCGACTCTTGATTTCTGCTCAGGTCATGATTTCACAGTTCATGACTTCAAACCCTGCGTCAGGCTCTACATTGACAGCATGGAGCCTGCTTGGGATTCTCTGTCTCCCTTGTTCTCTGCCCCTCCCCAACTCATGCGTACGTACGCCCTCTCTCTTTCTCTCTCTCTCTCTCTCTCTTTCTCTCAAAACAAATAAATAAACATTAAGAACAAAAAGAATCTGAACATGAGGAGATGATCCTGGATTATGCAGGTGGACCCAATGTAATCATAAGGGTCCTTATAAGTGAAAGAAGAAGTCATGAGTCAGATGACAATGGAAACAGTATCAGAGTAATATAGCATGAAAGAAGCTTAACTAGCCAGTGCTGGCTTTGAAGGTGGAAGGGACCACAAGCAAGAGAACACAGAAGCCTCTAGAAGCCAGCAAGGGCAAGGAAATGGATTCTTCCCTGGAGCCTCCGGAAAGAATACAGTACCTCTGGACACCTTGATTTGAGCCCCGTGAGACCCATTCCAGACAGATAACGTCCAAAATTGTAAGATAATAAACCTGTGTTGTGGTAAGGCAACCGAATTTGTCATAATTTGTTACCGAGGCCACCGGAAACGAGCTACTTTCCTTGAAAACTCCTATGCTTCCCAAAACAGGAATGAGATCTTACTCCTCTCCTTGTGACCCAGCGGCAACACCTTGGCCATGGTAGAGCTTCACAAAATTTGGGGAAGGTCCTGTCCAAGTCGCTCACTCACAACCACACACATAGTTACTTGGGACTTACAACAGAGTGTCCCCTAGTGTTTTCTTAAGTGAATGCACCTGGCTTGGACGAGAAGCTTCTTGAGGGGAAGAACCCTCGCTGTTTGGCTGGCACATGCGGTCTGAACACAGGACCATGCACTAACTGAGCCGAAAGTGCCCTCTGGGGTTATCTGGTAACACGACGCTAGACCCAAGACTGCTTCGGCAGCAAAGGGGAAGGAAGAAAGCACTCAAAGGACATTCCAACTCTTCTGTGGGAAGTTTCCAGGATTAATACAGGCTGGGAAGGACCTTCCCTGACCCTCATCTGAAGACCCTCTCTCTTTTTAGGGCCCAGCCTTCCTGCTCCCGGGAAAGAGTCTAACGTGTCATTTATGCCCACTGTGAATTTATACCAGTGGGTCACCTCTCCCTGGAGTACGTGCATCCTCAATCTGTTCTCGGTTCACTGTGAAAGTGTTTCCAGAGATTGCTGTCCTCCCCCCACCATTATACCTCGGTCAGCTATGCCGTCAGTGCCCCCAGACTCGCCTTGTGGAGACAAGCTGTGGCAAGAGAGCAGGCGGGGAAACATTAAACTAAAATCCCCAATTACTTGCACCAACTCTGTGTATAGACGAGAGTTCAGAACTGTCACCAATTCTTTGCACAGGCCCTCGGATGCTTGCGAGGCCAGTTCCTGATATGGGGCAGTTCCCAATCCTGGCTATGAGATTATGTGGGATAGAGAGTGGAGAGCAATGGAAGAGTTTAGGATAAGTCCCAGGTTCCTGATGTGGTGATGAGAAAGGTGGTTAGCTCTATTAACTGCAATTGAAGACAGCGAGAAGAGAGTCTCAGGGTGAACACACACTGTCACAGCCATGTTGCATCCAAGCAGCCTACAGCAGACCCACTTGGAGACATCTAAGCAGACTTTCGAGATATGGGGTCAAGGGCCTGCGACTGAGGTCTTGCCTGGAGCAATCAATGTGGGCAGCTGATGCTGAGAGAACAGATTAATAGATCAAATCTTCCAGGATGGGAAGGAAAAAGGGCAGAGTCTGAAAGCCCAGTCAACACCAACATTTAAGAAAACAGGCAGAGGGAGAAAAGGTAGTGAAGGAACTGAGAAGAAAGGTGGTTAAGAGGGTCAAGTGGGAAGTGTGGTCTTTTGGAAGCTAAAGACCTTGAGGAAGGTCTCAAGGAGGGAAGGGTTAGGGAGCCTGGGTGGCTCCCAGTCGGCTAAGCATCTGACTTCGGCTTAGGTCACGATCTCATGGTTCATGGGTTCGAGCCCCACATCGGGCTGTCTGCTGTCAGCTCGGAGCCTGGAGCCGGCTTCGGATTCTGTGTCTCCCTCTCTCTCTGTCCCTCCCCCGCTTGCGTGCACTCTTTCTCTCTCTCAAAAATAAACATTTAAAAATCTATTTTAAAAAAAGGACGGAGTCAATGGTGTCAAATGTTCCAGCAAGGTCATGGTTGATGAGACTAGAAACAGGCCTCTGGATCAGGCAGTGCCAGGGCACTAGTGGCCCCAGTGGGAGCAGCTTCCATAGGAAGGGTGCGTGTGTGTGTGTGTGTGTGTGTGTGTGTATGCGTGCAGGCACCTTGGGTGGGGAGGGAGCAGTAGAAACAATATCACATGGGACTGAAGAATAAATAGAACTGAAGACGTGGAGAGAGCAGGTCTCTCTTTAAGGAGCAGGGAAGTGAGGAAGGAAAGAAATGAAGTGGGGTAGTAGCTTGAAAAGGAATTGGGATCAGGAGGAAGTTTTGTTTTATTTTGTTTTGATTTATAATGAAAGAAATCGAGAGTGAGGAACAACCAGTGGATGAGGGAGAAAGCAAGATGTCGGCGAGTGAAGAATCAGAACACTGGGCTGAAGGACGCAGCGGAATTAGACTTGTGTGTCCAAATCGGTGATGACCAGGACATGACCTTGGGGCCGCCACCACAGTGCAAGGGCAGAAGGTGGCTCCTCTCCGTGGCCTTAATGTGGCTCTGCCCCAATCACAGGCTCACCTCATGGAGTTTGTCAGCCTTCTGGGTCTGCTTCTTCCGACTTCTCTGAGCAGCCACTCGGTTTTTTTCTCTCCTTCGGACCTTCCGGTCATCGTCCTCTGGACTCTGGGGGGAAATGTCTGGTCAGGTGTGCTGTCCAGGCCCCTTGCCTCACCCTCCTCAGCCTTGCCTCTTTCCTCTGCATGGCTCATGGAGCTTCCCCGTTTTACCTGCAGTCACAGCAGAGGACCTGCTGCTCACCGCGTGCCGTGGCTGAGCTTAGCTACCAACCCCCGTGACCACCCTGACAAATGTGTGGTGTGACCGCCATTTAACAGACGAGGAATAAGAAACTCAGAGAGGTTAAGGAACTTGCTCCAGGTATAACAGCTAGTAAGCGGGTAAGTGGGAAGTGGAACTCAGGTCTGTTGGACTCCAAACCAACGTTCATAAACCTCTACCCCACAGGGTGTGTGCCTGGAAGAGGTGTGGTGTCAACGTTGTCCATCTGAGGACGGGAAAGGCAGAAGGCATCTGCTGTCTGGAAACTGCCACGTGCGAGGTCTGACGCCACCACACAAACAGGTACTTCGATGCGTGCAAATCACATCACGCTTGTAACTACTTGCAACCACACAACTCTGCCAACACACCAGATGATCTTAAACACCACAGACAATATGCTCATTTGAACAATGCTTGATGGCCATTTTGTTCCACGGGTCAGAGTGAATCAGAAAGCAGACTGATGATGTGTCTTGAGAGCTCTTAGCGCTCTGTATGAGATTTAAACAAACCGAGTCAAATCCTTTAAGCGTTATCCTGAAACAGGCAGGCTCACAAAATACACCTACCAAGGTAAAAACATCTCAGTTATAGAAAAAACATGGAGAAGTAGAGACTCTTTGCCTTCCAGAACCCTGTGAGAAGGTACCAAGCGGGGGGAGCGGGGGGGGGGGGGGGGGGGGGGGGGGAGTATGCTACCTTTAAACAGTTTAAAAGCTAAGAGGTTAGTTAGTAGGATACAAACACAGGAAAGCTACTCAATTATTAATATTATTGGGAAGCAAACATTAATATAAAATAATGGGTAACTGCAGTTATCATTTTATATGGTCTTGTATTCCAATATGAGAGACATATGTTTCCCCCCAAGTTCCAGTGGGTAAAGAATTTCCAGTATATGGAAGAATCTAAGTCTACAGAAGGACACAAACAACATACATAAATAATATAACAAATGGACGCGGTCTGAAGGTAGTGCTTAAGGGAACAGGCACAAGGGGTCAAAGCATAGTTTTTTAGAGACAAAGAAGTCTTGGTAAACATAACCAGAACACCACATGGGCAAAATGTGGTGTACAGGACAGACTTTCAGCTTAGAAATACGTGGCTCCTGGTTTTGTCTCTTGCTGTCATTATAGCCTGGGGGAAAGGGCTTACATTCTCTGAATGTTCAGTTTTCTCATTTATTGTAAGTGTGAGTCATTCATTGTTTCACTAAGTATTAAATGAGTACCTGCCATGTGCCAGGCACTGTTTTCGGCACTAGAGAGACATGCCCTGAACAACTGATGGGTAATCACTGTAGCAATCATTCTAACAGCCTAACACCTGGCACGAGCATAGGACAAAGTGAGATTTTATCCTAAAGCTCCCAGCACATGGTGGTACGCCCTCAGCAACCTCTGTAGAGGTCGCTGCTATTTTTGAATTCCCCATAGTGCTTGTCACCAAATCACGCCTTTTTGTCCGCAATCAAAAAGTCACAGGGCACAGGGAAGCAGCCTGTGTCCTGCCCTCTGAGAGGGGACACTCTATACCTATCCATATGCTCACGCCTGACAACCCAGCAGTAACATTTAATCAAAACAGAAAGGAGAGCAAAGTGTTGAGACAGCCATCAACTATTAACCATATCTTAATCCTCATAAAAATCACGAGAGGTTATTATTATATTCATTTTACAGGGGGGGAAACTGAGGCTCGAAGATGTTAAGCAAAATGCCCGAGGCTACTCAGCGTGCGTGTGGTAAAACCGAGGTCCAAACTCAGAAATGTGTGACTCTTGAGAGCCACCTGATAACACCGTGTACCAGGCATCAAATTGGGAAGGGGAGCATAACAATGAGTGGGAAGTTCTCTGATGGCCATCCCCGCGGGCAACCTCGTCTCAGATTCCTAAGTACACAGTTGTAGTAAATGTGGCCCAGGACAGCACAGAGGACTGGATGGGGGCCGAGGGGTTTCCACCAGCGCTGGGGCTGGAGTCCGCCCACTGCGGGCCCCCACCCCGCACCCTCAGGCACGGGTCTTGAGTTCCCCATTCGGACCGTAGATGTTGGAAGTGCCTGGACACGAGCTGCCCCTTCGGGCTGAATTTCCCCTCTGCGCACCCTGGCGCCCGGGAAGGGCCACGCGCGCCGGCGGTGGGGTGGCAGCGGGCGCCAGCGCAAGGATGGCGACACCGGGACAGCGCGGATCCCACGTGCGGGGAAACGTGGACCGTGCCTGGGTCCCCGCGCCCTCCAGTCTCTCCGCTTCCCGGGCCACAAGAGACGGGTCACCATTCCGGACGCCGCGGGCACCGTGCGTGAGCGGAGGACCGCCGGACAGAGGCGCACGCCGGGGGGCCCTGGACCCACCCCACGCCCCCACTCCTGCTGGTCGCTGGCTCCCGCAGCGCCTTCCACCCCGACACTCAGCGGTCACCACTCCCGAACCCCAGACCCACCCACCTCCGCGTGCCCCTCGGCGCCCCCATCCCCGCAGGCCCGCGGACCTCCCTGAGCCTCCTTCAACTACCTGCGGCTGCGGCTGGTTCCCGGGCGCCGAGACGCTCCTCTGCAGGACGCTGCCGGCCGCCGGGAGCACTTGCGACATGCCG